TGGGCTTCTTCCCTGTGAGGGAGCTATCCAGCCCAGGATTAAGGAACACCTGTGGTTATACTCAGGACAGTTCAGTATGTGTAGGCAATCAGAATTACATCATTTAATTTCTTTTTTATTAATCAATAAAAAAAAATGATACATTCCTTAAACGTTTCCATAGACAAAAATATCAGTTCACTGTTGATATATATTGTTTTAAAAAATCAGCACTTTTGTGAAAAGAAATACATCTTTTGAGTGATCCAAAATTACTTGAATTACAAGTTGTTCAAGACCATTGATTAAAATGAAGGCTTTAATATTTTCAAATGACCTTTTCTGTAGTTACTTTTAAATATTGGTCTACTGTTTTGAAATAGTGAATTTAATTTTTTTCATGTTGATTTCTTATTTTTCTTCATCAGTATTTAGTGTCAGGATTTCAAGAAAACTTTGGTAAGCAGTATGACAATTCTGCGATGTTTAGAAAAGAAACGATGTCTGTTACTATTATTTTAGATTATGTCATACTGGATGTTACAACCTAAAGCACTCTAAAAATATTGCAAAAAATAACGCTTTTCATAAGGTGATTCCGATTGCCTACACTAATTGTATCTGTCTGCTCAAAGTGACATCTGCATCAATAAAGCTGGAGAGTCATCATGTAACATTAACAGCATTTCCAACAAAGTATCAATAAAAAAATCAGTTCCAGAAACCTTCATTCATTCAAATTTCAAATTGAAACTACCTTTCAAAACCTAGTTTTAAAACAAAAACATACTGTAGTATATTCCTTGAAGCCTTTCCTGGTCTACAGTTGGCTTCCTTAATCGATGCCTGGATGCCAATGATATACTATGATAAAACACAGCAAAGCTGGATTGCCATCTTCTTGTAGTTTGGAACAGTCTTGCAAACTTGCTTACAAGCTGACTCTGTAATTAAAAATTTGTAGATTCAAATAATAGATGAAAGATGAAAGTTTTATGAATAATGTCATCATAGTTTCATGCACTCATCTTGTTCAATACAATCATAGACAAAAATAACATTAATACTCTTAAAATATCCTCTAAACAATTGTATTTTAAACTAGCTTACATTTAGGTTAAAAATAAAGATCTAAAATAGTTTGTATTTAATACTTATTTGAAAAAAAAAACAACAACAGATTTTATGCATAAATGTATCTAAAATTATTTACCTGAACCTTTTTACTATCATGTTTCTTTTGTTTATCTTCCCCAGGTCATTGATCTTTAGGTTCAATTACAACAACCAAACATTTCCTGAATCTTGTCACACTTAGATAAATGTTTTCTTTGAAAATTCCAAAAATATGCTCCCTAACATTTAAAACAAGATATGTCCAAAATTGCTTAAAATAAATCCAGGTTTTGCACTACTTCCAACTATAACCACTTGACCCATTAATGTCTGAGATTCAAATTTTTCAACAGTATAACTGAAGGGGCAATCATAATGTGAAACAGGGGTGATCCCAAAATATCAAAGCCATCATCATTTTATTTTTACATTAATTTTATTGAAGGTACAAATATATCAAATGATAAATAAAAGTAAAACTTGAAAATTATAAGAGAATCACAGTTGCAGTGTCATTTTAGATTGTTTTGGATTGTATAAAAACCCAGACTCCCCCTGAATAATCACATGGAACAATCTGGTCTATCCCAGAATGCTCAATGAGAAGATTGATCATGCATAGATTATAAGAGGGAACCACCTGGGGTGCCATTAGTTTTATCTGATCAGTGTGTTATATTCTGTGTGTGAAAACTTAGTGGATGCAGTATTTATTTATCTTAATTATAAGAAAGTATCAAGCATACATATTTTACACATTAATTGTACATAATTATATATTAAAAGGACAATTAATAACTATTTATGTTTATTGTACACATAATTAATGGCAGAGTAAATTGTAATCTGAATGTATGTCACAGACTTGCTTAGTAGAATATACTATTTTATATGGCATAAGAACATATATTAAAGATTAATAGCATTCTTATTTCAGTGTTGCTTACAGGCTGTCAAGAAACCCTTTAAGTTAAGTCTATATATAGAAAGAAACTGCAGGAAAAATACTGATGCATTTAGAAACTAATAGACATAAACACTGATTGTTTCTTTTTGTATAATTATAAGTTTTGCTCTTTTATCTATTCTTAAAAATGGAGAAGATATCTAGTAACAATAATTATAAATAATAATATAAAAAAAAATATGAAAATAAAAAAAATAAAATTTTCAAGTCTTTCTGATCATCAGTTATTTGAATAATCTTTATCTTATTATGATTAGTTACAATTCCTTTATAGCCATTAATAAAAGGTATTTTATGGCAACAAGGAATTTACATTGTTTTTAACTTTTCCATGTTTTCACACTTAAATTTTTTTAATTGATTCCTCCCACAAAAATGGCTTCAGAAGATTAAAGTACAAATTTATTGAAAAGGAAGTTGGCCATTGACAATGTCCATACTAAAAATTGATTCCCTGGACCAAATCTCTCCTTTCCATGCTGTTGGACAATTGTTTGCTCTGACCATGGATTAAGAAATATCCATTGGCAATCTACTGTTGGGTTGTTATCTTAGTTTGCTTTAACTGTTGATTATTGCTTTTGATGCCCATTATAAGTTAAATCATGATTATGTCTTAACATTTTCCGAGATGAAATTTAGTTAAGTTCAATTATCCGAGGTCATTTCCAAGCTAAATATTGGCAAAGTGTTTCCAACAAATTTTACGTAAATTTTCTAAGTTCTTTTCCGAGCAAAAAAATGACAAAGTTCTTATTTCCAAGCTTTTTCCGAGCTGATTTTTGGCAGAGTGTTTAATTCCAAGATAGTTTCCAAGGTTTTCTTTATTTCCAAGGATTTTTATACAAAAACCTTGGACAAAGTTTCCAAGGTTTTAAAAAAAACCTCGGAATTAAGAAAAAACCTTGTAAAACTGGTTTATTTCCAAGGTTTTTGAAGCAGTTTCCATGGTTTTTTTCATAAACCTCGGAAAATCTACACCCGGGTTCTGTGCATAAAATTAGGGTGTTACTATTTAAAGTATTTACATAAATTGCGACCAACCAGGGAAGGATATTTTCCTTACGTCACGCAGTACTGCATGCGCGCGGCAATTAAGTTGAATTAACTAATAATAGCACGTATCAAATTAAGGTGTGGAAACGGGATTAAATTTTTTTTTTCAAATTAATGAATATTTGTAAAGCATTTATATGGTCACTAGTTTACCATGTGGTGATTTTAATGTGCTTTGGGGTACATGTTCGTTTGTTTATGACTGACGACACTGATTAAAAACTATAAGCCCATGCAATAAAACATTTCTGGTAGAAGCGTGGTCATAACATTGACCGAAAAAAATATCCTTTCATATGCATTATTGTTTTGATAGCAGACACAAGTATTGCACAATATCTTCAAGATCATTAAAATGTAAATAAAATATCACAATCAAAATGCACTTACGATTAATAATATGTCAATAATTTACACAATCAATATCCAACATTTTTTTACTTGAGCAATAATTAAACATGTGTAATCATTCCTTGACAAAAAGAAATGACAGTTTTTTTCTGATATATAAAAAAGAGGTGAAAGTCAATCGAGTGTCGGCATTTCTTTGATGATTCGGCAACAACTACAGGTGTGTAAACATCAAAGATTCACAGATTCTTCAGAAGAGCCGACCAGTCATTTGTCAGAGGTCATTTCGTGTGTAAATTTTGTATTTATTATTTAACAATGGAAACATTATATTCCTTTTATTTATGGATGCTTCTTTTTGCGCGAGTGTTTTTGTGTCTTTTAGCGCTATGGAATTTCAACAATCGGCGATAATTTTCGGTAACTAACAATTAAATATTTTAACATTTTTAAAACAGGGGTGCAAATATCCGCCATTCAGAAATTATAGCAGGCAAATCTTGCGTGTGTTATTTTTTACAAACGTGTAATAAATTGAGTAATGATCACCCGAGAGAACGAAATGTCCCGGTGATCCACTACATTTAGAAATGAACAAGTTAATGTCGTATCAATTATGTATCTTTTTATGTAACTAAATATCTTTTTACACATATATTATATTTATATCTCTACTTTAAACTCAATATGTACCCCCCCCCCCCTAAAAATAGTTTTACACGTGTACATGCACACTATTATACCTGCAGATGGAGCCGCATACTTGTACTGCGTCGCATTTATACATTGAGGTCATGATTCCGCCATTCACGGAAAGTTTTTAACGGTGTTATTTGATTTCGCCGTGGTTATTTATATTTGCTGTTGGCATCAAAGATAAATAGAGAAAGGGCATTTTAGCAAATTACAAGATTTTCTTGATACAACTTCATGTAGATCTACTAATTAATTTTCGTACTTGTACATGTATATCTGGTTTCAAGTTCACAGACTACACTTATAAATAGATCTACATTTATTATACAAATGAACATGTATTATTCCCCGCGAATCGCGGCAAATGTTCACGGCAAAATCGCCGCGAGTTGAATTCGCGGCGATTGTCTCAAGTTGCCGCGAATTCGCTCGCGTTATAAAGCATGAGAGTTCGCCGCGAATACGCGAATTGTGCGGGTTTCGCGTGTCCAGTACTGTAATACGTCCAGCCTGATCATTAAGCCTACTCAAATTGAAGATTATATGCGACATTGTTAAAAGTAAAACCAAATAAGAAATTCAACGTTCAAATATCAGTATTTAATGCAAAACTGTGCTCTATTTTATCTTTTCAATGTTTTACCAAATTTCTATTACTTTAAACGCATACTTTAATATCGTGAATAGCAGGAATCATCATTACGTCAGTAAATCTTATCTATGTATTATATGGCCTTAATTAAAGTGCATAACTTACAAATACACCGATTCTCATATAAGGAGACAGATTTAAGAATAGAGTTAATAAAATTTTTGTCAATATAAAAAGGACAATTTACCAAGTCCATGATTGATCGCCATTTGCATTTCGGTACAGGACAGCGAAATTGTCTTTCGCCGATTTCTCCACGATGTCCGCAAACTGGCTCAAACTCTCACAATCCGATCTTTTAAATAACTTGTTAATCCGCCCGAACCCTCCATCAACAAGACATCTAAAATAAATGTACAGTATATAATTTTATATTTTCTCCGTATAATAAAATAAGTAAAATAGGAGTTATTCTCTACTTTTATATTCATTTCTCCGTATAATGGCAATACATATGTAGTTGTTTAGTGAACATTGTGAAAATTCGTTTTTACTTTTTTTATAAAATGCACCAAGTTAGCCAGTTTCAAGCAAAAATCAATTTATTGCTTGAAAATTCATGTACGTGGCATAGGATCGTACACTTCATTACATATGCAAATACTTTACTTTTGATATAATCATTATCATCTTCAATACGAAAAATAATAGTTTCAAGTTTGTATCTCAATACTTGAGAAAATGTATTTTAACTAAATTTCGACTCTGTTTTTCATGTGCATCAATTAAAGTATTCATACTTGTCCTTTATTCGAAGGAATTGAATTGTTCATTTTTTGATAAAAACTAATCCTTTATGAGCGTGAATAAATGTTTTTAATAAGATATCATCTCATGAATTTTTCTGCAATGGAATGAAGGGACGCTCTACCATTAATTTAATTAAGTAAAAAAATCATGAAACTTACTTTGTATGTCCAGGGATAGCCATAAGTAATGTTATATTTTCATGTAATCCCATATTTATTCTCCAACTCAGGTATGCCAGCGTGAATCTATTTTTGTTTTGAGCTGTAAATAGAAATATAAAAAAGCTTTTTTTGTTAATACTACTATTACACTGATTTAGAAAGAGGAATATTCGCGGTGTTGTTACAAAAAAATGATACAAAGCTCATACGGTATAAAACGATACTTTACTCAATAACATACCTCCACAATTATCAGCATGTAGATATAGACCTTTTTCTCCAAATCCATAGTTAGAGAGACTGTGGTGAAGCATACTAATCACTGAGTTTGGACCGTGAGTTCCGCCACCATCTAAACCTGTGCAGTATATATGAAAATATTGTTTTAACAAGTAAGATAGAAATTGCGTACAAAATAATTGTTAAAAGAAATACATACAAAATATTGTATAATGAATTTATAATGCATAAAGTAATGCAAATGCAAATACCTATTGACTGATCCTCGTCTATCAAGTAGTTAAACTGTTCTCCTGTAGAATCTACCCGTATTCCGAGCATGTTTATTTTTCTACCGGTCACAAAATATATTGGACCCATTTGCCGGCTATGATGTGGTATTGTAACGCACTGGCTGTAGTCAAACGTAAAGTGCACCTAAAACAACGAAAATTTGTAGTGCTATTTGTATTACATAATGTACTCGTATGATGTATTTTCAGTCATCATTTTACAAATTTAAATATACAGAATCGTCATGTGTTGCTGAATAATAAAGTCATGGTTCAAATTTCAATGAAAAAAAATGAAATTCGTACATGAAAAAATATGGATTAAACTAATCCTGGATTAGATGAATGTGCTATCAAACATAACGATTTTATTTATCAAATTTAATTTTATCAGCATTTATTTCCTTCTTTATTCTCTTTCATCACTTCATCTATCATTCATACTGTAGCAATTTGATAGTTCATTTGTGGTATTTGATTATATTTTATCATGACATAAGCTACAAATAAAGTATACATACAATATATTAGTGATTTATTTTAAAAAGTAAGATTCATAATAAGAAGCGATCGAATGTAACTATTATAGCAACGTACTTTGTTTAAATCTGCGGATACTGGAGTTACTGGTCTGTCATGCCGTCTGTGAGTTGACATTTCTTCTCTTGCCTGGACAACTGCTGTCTGATATACTTCTCGTTCAGCCTTTGCATCCTGTAAATATAGTGCATAAACATTAATCAAATTTTGTGACGTATGTTTTATATTTTTTTCTTTCAAAATCAAGAAACATCAATTATAAAAGCAACGGATGTTGTCATTTATTATGAAGTTCATCGTTTAGCAACTTAAAAAAATAAATCAATTAATTTACCTGCACGTGTTCTTACGGAGATGATTTGCTGCATCTAATTTTGCGTCCTCTGTCACAGCATCTACAACCTTGTGGTGTAAAAGTTCACACTTATAACAAATATCATCTTTTGGAGTCATTATTCTTATGTGCGGCACAACATTACTCCATACGTTCTTAAACGATGACAATCCAATCTTTCTAACCTGAGACTCTATACAGGCTTGAGAATATAATGTGTGCAGACTACATTTTGTGAGATTAGATGGCAGCAATATAGGAGCTTCTCCGTCATGTCCTCTCGGAGCTGCAGGCATGGGTAAACCATGTATGTCGGCATACCATATCAACCAGTCAACACAAAACCTGATCTCATTGTATCCAAGAGCATGATGCGGTCTTCGTCCGGTGTTGCCATGGGTACGTGGTACTGCCCCATTCATACTAAAATGGTCAACGATGTTCCTCAACGATTTCTTTCCTATATTGTTTATATATAAAAACACGTCCTTGCACACCTTTTTTCCCTGAAACACGTACCTAAATCTTGTCCTTTTTCTACGTTTACCTTTCAAAGTTTCATCAGCACTTACTTGTTGAAGGCTTCCCATAATGAACATTTCCTTCTCACCCCTGTCCATTTCTCTAAGTGACAATATATGGTTATTAATTGTGTCTTCTTCAAAGCTATCCATGCAGTTAGATTTGCATTTACACAGTTTTAAATTCTCACAGTTAGATGTATCTTTATCATTGGTGTTATTGTCGTCAAGCTCTGACCCTGATTGTTCAGAATTACAAGAGTGTGTGTTGCTCATATAGTCATGGACTCTTGACGAAATACTATTTTCTACATTTTCTAATGCATTTTCTAAATCTTCTTCTTCTTCTTCACTGTCCCACTCCTGACTAAGATTTTCGATCGCCTCATGATCATCGCTTTGTGACATAATTTCTGAAGCAACGCCAAATACCTGAAACAACCCATCCAGCTCCTGAAAAAAAAAAAAAAATATAAGCAATAAAAAAAAAAATACTTCCCGGCCGAGGATTGAACCCTGACCGCGAGCATGCTACGCAAGGTGCTTAACCCCACGGCCACCACATCAACATTCAAAACACGGTGTAAATTTTCTAGTGTATCTTGAACTCACCCAAAAAAATCGATAACAAGGGAGACTACCTAGTTGCTTAGCAGTATGACAACAAACAACTGTCAATAACATAATTTTCAAAGATCGATCAATAAAGGCTTCTAGGAGCATAAAAAAATAACTGAAGTTTATATCCGTACAAATCAATTGATTTGTTTGTTTTAAAGACATTGATTTTTGTTTTAAATACAATCTTTTATGATGTTAAAAAAAATATTCTCTGCGCACGGCAGACGAGTGGTTTAAAAGCAAGTTTTCTTCATAATATCAATTTATTTGTAACAATAACTGCATGTTATATATATATTACCTCAAATTCATCCATTTCTGATGGTAAAATACCCTCTAGGTATAAAAATCAGGACTTAAATCACCATTTAGCAAACCTGTTGTAATGTTTACGGAAATAACGAAGCGGTCGTACTATTCCCGGACTTTTTCACGGTGCGTCAAAATTGCCCGAGTGCCCCTTTTCTCATGGCGGCGGTCATATAATATGAAAAGGCTAAATCAGATATATTATATAGAATTTGAAAAGGCTAGATCAGGTATATTATATAGAATATGAAGAGGTTAAATCAAGTATGTTATATATAATATGAAAAGGCTAAATCAGATATATTATATAGAATTTTAAAAGGCTAAATCAGGTATGTTATATAGAATATGAAAAGGCTAAATCAGGTATGTTAAATAGAATATGAAAAGGCTATATCAGGTATGTTATATAAATGTAGAATATGAAAAGGCTATATCAGGTATGTTATATAGAATATGAAAAGGCTAGATCAGGTATGTTATATAGAATATGAAAAGGCTAGATCAGGTATATAGAAACTGAAGAGGCTAAATCAGGTATGTTATATATAATATGAAAAGGCTAAATCAGATATATTATATAGAATTTGAAATGGCTAAATCAGGTATGTTATATAGAATATGAAAAGGCTAAATCAGGTATGTTATATAGAATATGAAAAGGCTATATCAGGTATGTTATATAAATGTAGAATATGAAAATGCTATAACAATATGTTATATAGAATATGAAAAGGCTTAATCAGGTATGTTATATAGAATATGAAAAGGCTAGATCAGGTATGTTAATAGAATGTGAAAAGGATAAATCAGGTATGTTATATGAATATGAAA